AAAAAAGAAAATAAATAAATGACTGAGAGCTTGACACAAAGCTCACTTCACCTACAATGTATGTTGATATGGAGAAATTAAGTATATACTGACTTTTTCTTTTTCCTTCACCCACGAGATACAATATGGTCAATGAAATAGAAAATTAATGCAGGAACTCAATTTATTCCTTCCTGGATTCAACAAACTTTTATTTAGCATCCGTTCTTCTAAAAACACTGTTTCGGCATGAGACAGAGCCATAAGCAAGCAAACAGGTCACTGCTGTCACTGAGGTACCCATTTGATGGGAAAGGGGAGACAGACAAAAAAGAAGCAAACAAACCAATGACATACACTTAGAAAGTGGGAAGTATAATGAGGAAAATAACATTGAGTAGGGGTAAACTTTTTACTGGCCAGGGCAGAGCCTCTGAGAAGGTGACATGAAGCTGATCTGTACACCATGCAAAACCAGATTGTTCCATACAGAATAAATAACAACAGCAGAGGCCCTGCATAAGGAATAAACTTGGTTTAATTGAATAATGGAAAGAAGGTCAGTATGGCTGGACATAAGTATAGAAAGAATGGAATAAAAGTGATAGGAGATGGGGTTGGAGTGGGTGGGCAGGAGTCAAATCATAAGGAGTCTCCTAGGTCATGGTGGGAGTTTGTATTTTATTCTACCTGCATGGAGCAGTCTTTAATAAAAACTGTTCCCTAAAGTAGACTGGAGTTTACAAAAGGCTATATTGATGGTAATTTGATAACACAGGTACTCAATTATTGTTCACACAAACTGTGAACTTTGAAGCCAGCATAGACTGTGGGAGATCAAAGGGAATGATCTAAGATTATCCACTGGCCAAAACTCAGGCATCAGAATCCTCGTCCCCTGACCTTCATGCAGTAGATCTGGATGGCTCAGTCGACTGTAACTTCACCTGCCTCCATTTGTGGAACTGAGAAGGTGTCTCTGACTTCAGGAGACTGTCCCAATGGGTCTAAATCTCTTGGATTTGCCCAGATACTTAATAATCTACTGAAAACAATGTTTATAGTAGAGAGTTTTCCAAAGTCTTCTGCTCAGACATGAATTTCTGAAACAAAACAAAACAGGGTGGATACTGTATTTCCAGACCCAGCCACATGCCTTCCAAACATACAGCAACTGTGTGCCTGTTAAATTAGGACTCTTACTGTTTAGTGCTCTGAAAACAAATCCCCAAGCATAAGCGAAAGCAGGGAAAGCAATGTTTAGGAATATTGAGGTGCCTTAATGTTATTATTACAGATAAGTGTTAAAGCAATTCATTCACTCTTACAGATATTTCTTGAGCACATATTATGTGGGAAGCACTGTGCCTAACTGAGAATTTAATGGAGAACAAGATAAATCCTCTGGCATCAAGGAACTTTTATTCTAACCACAATAATAACACTTAACATTCATTGTTTCTTATTTTCCAGCACTGTTACTAAGTGCATTAGCTCATTCAATGGGGAATCTAGACAATAAATGAATAAATAAAAATAGAGTAAGAGGTAATAGGGATGTAAAGAAAAATAAAGCAGGAGACAGTAGGGAGATTAATGGTGGCCTGAAGATGTCTATGTCCTAGTCCCCAGAACCTGTGAATGTGTTACCTTCTGCAGCAAATGAACTTTGCAGATGGACCCATCCAGATGGGTTCAATGTAATCACAGGATCCTCATACTAGGGAAGGAGTGAGAGTTGGAGACAGAAGATGGAAGGATGGAATCAGAGAGAAGATGCTATGCTGCTGGCTTTGAAGATGGAAGAAGGGGTCGTGAGCCAAGAAATACAGGCAACCTCTAGAAGCTGGAAAAGGCAAGGAAACGAAGTCTTCCCTGCAGCCTTCAGGAGGAACACAGACCTGTTGATGACTTGAGTTTAGTCCAGTGAAACCAAATTTGGATTTCTGACCAACATTTGTTGTTGTTTTAAGCCACTAAGTGTATGGTAATTTGGCTGCAGCTGCAATAGAAAACTAATATGGTTACAGGAAGGTGAATGATGGAAGATGGTCAGCAGTGGTCTCTTAGAGATGGTGATCTTTCAGCAGAAGGAGGGAGCCATCTGGTTGGCTGGCTGGAAAAGCACTCCAGTGACAGGAAATGGTAAGGCAAATGCACTGAGAAGGGACTAGTCTCAGTGTGTCTGAGGACTAGTATGAAGATTGTGTGAGTGACCTTGGAAAGGTAACCAGAGCCCAGATTATGTGGGGCCCTGTATACTTGGCAAGCATTTTGAGTTTGTTCCAAGAAAGATGGGCGATCAGAGGAAGGTTGTGAACAGCAAATGGTATGATTTTGTTACTTTTAAGAGAAGCAATGTGACTGCCAGGTGGAAAATAGACTCTGGGCTGGAGGAGGCAATATAGGCAAAATGGAAAGCAAAGAGCTGGGTTGGGAGGGTGTCGAAGTTGACGGGTGAGAGGTGTCGAGGTGCAGACTGGGCAAGGAACAGGAGGAAAGGAGTGTCTTTTGCAGATGGAATTGACAGAATCTGCAGACTGGATGTGAGGCCTGATACAATGAGAAGAAATAAGAATGACATGAAGGATTTTGATGAGGTTTGATGTTCGCTGAGATTTGGGACATTCTGGGAGGAACAGGTTTATAATGGAAAATGATAAATTTGGTTTTAGATATGTTGTTTCCGATGGTGATTGGACAGCCAAGTGGTGATGTCAGGTAGGTTGTTGAACATAGAGCCTGAAGTTCAGGGGAGTGATTAGGGCTGGTGACATCACTCAAGGACCCCGAGTAGGATGGAAAGCCATGGCACTGCTGCCTGTGTGGCTAGATCCTGAGGACAGAGCCCTGGGCACTGGGACCTTCAGAGCCCTGGGAGAGGACAGCTCATCAAGGGGAAAGAATGGAGCACAGACATTACTTTCATCCTCAGAAAACATAAATCCAGTGTTTTTGACTCTGGCCTGCTGAAGCATGAGAAATGGCAACTTGCAAAGGTCCTCAGAAGTAGCCACTGTCTTGACCTACTTGCCCTGGCTCTCAGTGAGCTTTTAAAATGCCAGTGAGCTCTGTGGTGATGATCCAACAGCTGTGAATACAAGATGCTGATCCCGGAACAGCCACTCCCTCTGCAAGGGCACCAGCCTCCCCATGAGTGACTGCTGTGCTGAGCCACCTGACGCCAGCACGGGGTTTAGCAGCAGCTGCCCTTCTGCTCTAAGAAGCAGCTCTCTGCGATCAGATCAAACAGAGGCTCTTCCCTGCTTTGCTTGGAAGTTTGGGTATTTGTTTTCAGAGCATTAAACAGGAAGAGTCCCAGCTTAACTGGCACACAGGCACTTTAGGTCTGAAAGGGATTTGGCTAGGTCTGCAGTCTCCCTCCCTGATGATGTGAAATCCAAGTTTGTGCAGAGAACCTTGAGACACTCCTGCTACTATTAGCTCTTCTGTCTGGCTTTGCAGTGTGAGCAGGACAAGAAGAGAATGAGAAGTGCTTGCCTAACTGAAGTCACTGGTTTGGCACCAGCACTCTGAAGACAGATCCACAATTCTTCAAGCTTAATTTGCTTTTTTAGCTCCTTTACCTTTAACTTTTTATTGATATCATTTTTCTGGCTTTATCTAAAGAGGCTGCTGATGGACCTCCCACGATGCTCCTCTTCCAGAGAACTCAGTGTCTCTCTGTTTCATTGTCATAATTTGTCAGCTCCCTGTTAATCGCTTTGAGCAGTGTTTATCAGGCCTAGCTGAATATTGGAATCATCTGCGGAAACTCCTGAAGGCTGGTTCCCATCCCCAAAGATTCTAATTTAATTGTCTTCAAGTGTAGCCAGGGCATCTGAATTTTTTTAAAAACTCCCTCGGGTTAACGCCAAGGGGCAGACACAATGGAGAACCAATGGCCCTCAGACTCTGTGGGCCTGTGATTCCAAATTATCAGCTAATTTCGTGACCCTCTACTATCAGAAGAAGAAAAGGAAACATGAACCCACCCCCCAGGGTTCTCTCCATTTGCAGGTAACATTCCATTGTAGCAATAACCTTCCAAAGACCAAACCCTGCTGCTTGTACTGTATTCCAGAGAGAGCCAGATCCAGGCAAAGATGAGATTGCAGAGGAGAGATCTTCTGCGAAATTAGGACCCTCAAGACTGACAGCACAAAGGCGCCTTTTTTTTTTTTTTTAAAAATTAGCTTTCTTTCTTTCTTTCTTTCTTTCTTTCTCTTTTCTTTTCCAGTATAGTGAACATACAATGTATTAGTTTCAGGTGCACAATATAACCCTTCAACAATTCTAAACCTTACTCAGTGCTCATTATATGATAAAGCACCTTCTGTTTGTCAGGTGAGAATCTGCCATGTAAACCAGAGACTTGACTTTGGCTTCCTCTCAGGGCTTTTGGGAAATGCGCTCTCTATACCAGGTGCATCAGATCAGCTAACTATTGAGGGTGTGCCAGCCCGGTTAAACAGCATGACCTCTCCCTTCCAAGGAAGCCTACTGGAAGGAGGTGGAGAAATAAGAGGCTCTTGCGACTCAAAGTGTGTCCCGTCCCGAGGACCGGAGGCATGGGCGTCACCATCATCTCGAAGCTTTTTGGAAATACAGTGTTTGGGGCCTCTTCTCATACCTCATCAGTAAGAATCTGCACGTTGACAAGATGCCCAGGGGGTGAGTACGTTTGAGAAGGGATGGTATATAGAAGTGTGGGAAACGCGGTGCACTAAAATTCTACTAAACAGTAGGGATTAGGCGGAGGGAGCCACCCTTCCTCTTCCTGGACTGGGGTCTCTGGTAGTGAGTGGCAGCGACCCGAAGCTGGCGGGCCAAGGTGCGGGACGAGGTCCGGGCGGCCCCGCCTGCCTGCCTGCCCCGCCTCCCTCCTGGGTCCCGGCCCGGCGCGCGGTTGCTGTGGCAGCGCCGGACGCAGACCGAGCCGTGGCTGCGGCTGCTGCCTCCAACTCCTCCTCCAAAGGCCGCCCCAGACCCCAGGCTCTCGCTCAGTTAGCGTCTCCGCCATGCCCCGGGGGAGGCGCGGCGGCCGGGTGAGCGCCCTGGAGGGCGGCCCGGAGGAAGAGGCGCCCCAGGCGGCGGCCGCGGTGCCCTCCGCGCTGTGGGCGTCCCAGCTGCAGCCGGAGCCGGCAGCCGGGCAGATCCTGCTCCGAGGCATCTTCGAGATCGGCAGGAGTAGCTGTGACGTGGTGCTGAGCGAGTGGGCCCTCAGGTGGTGGCCCATCCAACCCGAGCGCCCTGCAGGTGAGTGGTCCCGGCACCTCAATCTCGGTCTGCGCCTCCAGCTACGCCTCCCTCCTGCGCTTTCCATCCCCGCGCTTCCTCTCCGCCCTCCCCAGGCTCCTCCTCTCCCCGCGTCGCTGGGCCCCCGCCCGCATCTTCAGAACTGGGGAGAACCGTTTCCCCGCCCCCTTCTAACCCTCCCCCCCCCCCCCCCCGCTGTCCCGGGGGCTTCAGGCTACCAGCTCCTCCATCCCGCCATCCCGCCTCTGGGTTCGTTCCCTGGGGCAAAGTCACAGTCAGCTTACGCTTTGCAACGCAGAAGAAAGAATTGAGCCCCAAAGGGCCGGTGTTTTCCAACCTGCGGAAAGTTTCTCTCCTTCCCTTCAAACTGGCCAAGTTTTAATCCATCAACTTCTGCCCGTCTGCTGAAAGTACACGCATTGTACAGAGTACATCTACACGTGGGTTCTGAATCGAGCTCTCACTTTGCTGACTTCTGAAACTTTAATCCCCTTTGAGGATCTCTCTGGACTTCCCCATCCCTCACGTTCCTTGTCATTGTCTAGGATCAAGCCCTCTATGGCTTAGTCTAGAAACAGTTGACTTTTTTTTAGTGTTGACTTTAAAATCCTCATCACGCTGCTTATTGCACTTGCCTTTTATTGACTTCCGTTATTTAGAAATGTTACAGTGCTGTACTTAGAACTATTTCAAGTCTTCTTCTAGGAAGGATTCCCCAAAAACCTCCGGATGTGGCACTCTCTCTCCTGGCTAAGTACAAACTTAAGAATTTAAAAAACAAAACAAAACAAAACATTGCCTTCTGTTGCAAAACCAGGCACCTTGTACTACTTCTACTAAAGTATAGAAACATGTTACTGTCTTTAAAGTTTCCTGTACAAAAAAGCTAACAAAATGTGCTGAGTAGTCAGCAACTGAAGTCTGCCTCTGCTGTATATGCTCTCTTAACCAAAAGTACCTTCTACGTTAATTGAAATGGTTTCAGGTGTTTTGAAAGCCAAGGTAGAATGTTTTATTGAACCTCTGAGTTAAAACCTAGGGATATGGACGTAGAATTATTCTGTCAAGTTTTTAAGTCCGTTTGAATTTGGGGGATCTAGAAGTTTCTAAGTTACATGGAGTTTAGGTTAATCTACAAGAGCCAGCTTAACCTACAAGGAAGGTGAAATACTACAAAATTAAAATGAGACTTTGCTTGAGGAGCGCTCCTATAAATAGGTGTTGCGGTCCCGGGACACAAAAACCAAATAATGACAGGGAAAAACGCTGTTGTAAATTACGTGGTGATGGAGGAAAAGGAGGCTTACTTTGTGTTCCTGGAAGTAGAATTTAAAAACCATAAAGGTTGAAAGTTTTGATTTTTTAAAAAAAATTTAATAATTATTTTTGAGACAGAGACCGAGCATGAGCAGAGGAGGGCCAGAGAGGGAGACAGAATCTGAAGCAGACTTCAAGTTCTGAGCTGTCAGCACAGAGCCCGATATGGGGCTCAGGGCTCGAAACCACGAACCGTGAAATCATGACCTGAACTGAAGTCGGATGCCTTGCCTAACCGACTGAACCACCCAGGCACCCCTTGACTTGGTTTTTTTAAACTTCACTCTAAATCCCTTACTTTCATCCAAGTGTATGACCTTAATGAATACCTAGTGTGCAAACCTCTTTAGGCCTTTAAAATGGGAACTACAGAATCCAAGCACTTTAGTAAGGACTTGTATTTATAAACAGATGTTTTATTTAGTATTTAAAAAAAATTTTTTTAAATGTTTTATTTATTTCTGAGAGAGAGAGAGAGGGGCAGTGACAGCGTGAGCAGGGGAGGGTCAGAGAGAGAGGGAGACACAGAATCGGAAGCAGGCTCCAGGCTCTGAGCTAGCTGTCAGCACAGAGCTGGACAAGGGGCTTGAACCCATGAACCGTGAGATGGTGACCTGAGCTGAATGTTGAACTGAGCCAGATGCTGAGCCGACGGAGCCATCTAGGTGCCCCGAGATGTTTTATTTAGTAAAAGGAGTTGGAAAGGAAAAAGAAGGTATTAAGAAGTAAGTTTAGGGGCTTCTTGGTGGCTCATTCGGTTAAGTGTCTGATTTTCACTCAGGTCATGATCTCTTGGTTTGTCGTTGGAGCCACGTGACAAGCTCTGTGCTGACAGCTAGCTCAGAGCCAGGAGCCTGTCTTTGGATTCTGTATCTCCTCTCTCTCTCTGACCCTTCCCTGCTCATGCTCTCTCTCTCTCTCTCTCTCTCTCTCTCTGTCTCTGTCTCAAAAAAATAAAATAAAATAAAACCTTAAAAACAATTTTTAAAAAAGAGGTAAGTTTAAATAAGAGAGATGATCTCTGATGCGGAATTAGTGCAGATGTGAATGCTGAAAGACCAGTGAAACTGGTCCAGATAATAGAGAAGAAGCTACGTCAGGATGACCATACTTGGGAAGACATGGTGTAGGAGGATGTAGTGGGGGAGACCACGGGTCCATTGCTTCTGGGCCAGTGACTGGCAGTTCCAGGAAGGGTGGGGGGAGGGCGGAGTGATGTGGGATCCCTGGCCTTAATGAGATCATACCCAGGAAATATTTGCAAAGTCAGTTTTTTTGAACCTAAGAGTATCTTAGTTGTTGCTTTTAAAAGATTTTATTTTTTTAGAGCGGTTTTAGGTTCACTGCAAAATTCAGCAAAAGGTACAGAGATCTTCCATATTCTCTCTGCCCTCCAGACTTGCACAGCCTCCTCCATTATCCACGTTCCTCATCAGAGCGGTGCACTTGTTACAATTCATGAACGTACGTGAACAACTTATCTCTGAGTCCATAGTTTACATTATGGTTCGCTCTTGGTGGTGTTCTATGGGTTTTGACAAACTTCTGATGTGTGTCTTGGGGTTTCTCAGGGAAACAGAAGCTTGGCTATGAAATTTGAGGAGATCTATGGGATTACGGAGGCTGAACTCTGCCACTGTGTGCCATTTGCAAACTGGAGAACTGGGAAAGTCAGTGGTATAATTCAGACCAAATCTGAAGGCCTGAGAAGCAAGATCGCTGATGGTTTAACTCTCAGACTGGATCTAACCGGGGAAAAGGAAGGATGCTGAACGTGTTTAGTTCACTGTCAGTACCTGGAAGAGTAGCTGACACAAAAACAATTGTTGAGTGCATTTGATAACTGGCCTCAATGAACCTTACTTTTGGCTATTGCACTGTACTACTTACTACACTGCTACTTGTGATTTTTCATCACCTGCAAGAGTATCCCCTCACTTTTTGTTAAAGTATTGGAATTCTTTGCTACAGAAACATTCTTAAGCTAATGTTTGGCCTCCTTCTCCACTGTGGGCATCCTCCCAGAAAGTTCCATCCTGCTAAACTGCAGGGTGGTAAGCACTGACCTGGACATAGACTGACCAAGATACCACCACTATGATTTAAAATATGTACACGGAAGGGCATCCTGGATTCAGAAAATGTCATTAACCGCAACACTACTTAATGGTCTTTCTATTGGAATTTTAAAATGTGGCCATTTTGCTTGTGAAATCATGACTTTATGTGTATAAATATAATTACCCAGTTAGCTGTGACCCAGAAAGGGACAGAATCCTGAAGAAATAGGAGAGGGATCAGGTGAGTTCTTTGAGGCCAAATGAGAAAAGTCAGACAAGTGTAGGGCATGGAATCCTCTCCAGGCAAAGCAGATGAGGGGTAGTACCACAGTGTGGTACTCTGAAATTGGGGAATAATGTGTCAAAAAATAAAAAGCACAGAAAGGGACATGGGCAGATAGATTAGACAACTTGCCATATTTTCTAACTTAGCCCTTCACTTTGTGCTATTACTGGATGAGATACATTCCGAGTTCAAGATTTTCAAAAGTATCACTGATTGCCTGTTGGCATTGTTCTAAATCTCAGCCAAGGACAGATTTCTAGGCATGTTTGCTTAGCAGGTTGTAAGCTTCTATTTGAAATGTTAGGCTGAAGCAGAAGATAGAAACGTTTTTGTGCATCCCCAAAGCAGGATCTGCTTACTGTACTGTGTGACCGGGTGATAATGCTTTCCCATAAAGGAAAAGCTACGGGTAAGGGGAATTAGTAATGGAGAGGATTAGACGGTATTAAGCTCAAATTTTAGTACTGTTAAGAATGATCAATTTAGGAATTTCTTTTTTTTTTTTTTTTTTTTTTTTTTTTTTTTTTTTTTTTTTTTTTTTTTTTTTTTTTTTTTTTTTTTTTTTTT